ATGTTGGTTTCTTAACCAGACTCCCCTGTGGCTCTCTAGGCTGTGACTGGCTCATGAATCCAGTCCCTCTAGCCCCTGCCCCTTTACTTTTACTGACACCTCTCTAGCTAACTTTCCAGGGCGACATGCGGCACCCAGAGCCATTGGAGCAGAAATGAGGAGATCCTGTACTTTCCCCTCACTAACAGACCACTTACACTGTCTTCATTTGTCAACTTGAGAAAATGTCCACTTCCCGAAGATGGCGCAGCCTCTGCGCTAGAGCTAAGGTCTGCGGAGCCCCAGGAAGTTAACCACGGCTCTGTTTTGAGCACAGTAGTTGGAGTTTCCTGCCTAGAATGGAGGAAGTGGCCCACCAGCCTTACATAGCCTAGTCTGCCCACACTCGGGAGAAATCACATCAACGTTTGCCGTATAGGACTTTGTACAAAAGGGTGGGAAGCCAGGCTGTATACAAATTTAAAACTTAATTGCAAGAGAAATAAATGAAGGAACTATATATTTTATAAGAGAGTGGGGCTGGGGTAACTATCTTTTCTCCCAACCACCACCTTACCAAAGGAATTATAGGGAGACATGTTACAATTATGAAGCGAATAATTGTTCTACCGGTGGGATATTTTCAACAGTTGGACTAACTAACGGAAGGAAGAGGGATCTAAGCAAAGGTGGGTTATCACTTGGCAGGGTGATTTTCTTAAAGATTGAAATGCTGAGTTAAAATTCTTGCCTCCAAGGCAAGAGAGGCAGATTGGATTCCTGGTCCGTATACCTCCAGCACAAATCCCGCCCGTCTGCCCGTGGAGACAGACTTACCTGTTGCTGGGACGCTGAACAAGTAGCAGCGTAATTTGTAGGTGAAGATGGATGAGGAAGAAAGTCTTGGAGCTCTCCTGAGAAGCACTCGATAAAAATCCCATGGACCAGCTTCTCTCCAAAATAGACCTTGAAGCCCTGACTCCTGTATCTGTGGATGTGATCCTGTATGGAAATAGGTGTTTCACTAACGGGCTCACAACCAAATAGGGTGGGTCCTACACCTAATCACTTCTGGATTATGAAATGAGCAGAATTGACCCGGAGACACACACAGAGGGAAGACAAACAATGGGATTAAGCACTCTGTTTTGTACCCTAATCATTATTAGTGCCTGTCATGGTTACCTAGTGATGCTATAACAGAAATACCACAAGCGGGTGGGTTTAATAAACGGTTTTGTTTCCCCCTCACAATTTAGGAGGCTCAAAGTTCAAATTCAAGGTGTCCACACTAATGGAAGGCTTCCTCCATCAGCTTTGTCTTATTTCTTTCAGCTTCTGTGCCTAGGTCATCTTCCTGTGGCTTAGTAACTCACCCACCACCCTCCATCTCCAACCCCCACCCCAGTTTCTGCTGCTAGTTT